GCTAATTTTAGTAAATATGGTACATGGGGCCTGGTGGGGCTCAGGCGGGGCATGAAATGTTGACTATAATTCTGAACTGTATTTGCCTTCCGGTAAGATTAATTAAGTAGGGTTGTAATATTGATAATCATGCAGCATATTCCGAAGACAATTTAGTCCCCTCGGGACGCCGGCTTTTGAATGAGCCTCTTTCCAGCCACCTGCAAGAACTGTCTGTAAAAAAATGACTAGCCTAGTTACAATTTTCAGCAGGTTATTGTAATTTCAGGCTGGCTAAGGGCTGCTCACCAATATATCTGGGCGCCAGCGAGAGGGCGTCAAATTGGGTTCTAAGACCAAGCGGAACGTCCGAACATCTCCCTGCAATGAGATACAAGCGGTGACACCAGGCCGACGTGACTTCAGAGAGGCCTATTTTAACCCCCACCCCCAAAGGATATTAATTTAGTGTCTTTCAATTTGGCATAGACGACACACATAAGCCTCCCTCTTGGCAGTTATTCAAGGATCTTGAACTCTAACAGTCATGAAAGGACTCGCGAGGACCCGGTAAGAACGCAGACAAAATTTAATCACTAATACAAATTAGTAGTAATTTTCTCTCTGAACGACCACTAGGAGGAAAATATCGTCAGCTCTACCCAAGGATCCACCAAAATCATTCTTCTATTGAACATAGATTGGGCCGTCTCGAGTTACTTCACATCGACACACACTAGACAATGCTACTGAAAGGTCCAACAGTTACGAATTCAGTTGAGTGACCCCATTCCGCCCAGTAGCGGGATTTTGCGCAAATAGCCCTATACCCCAGAAAGCCGTGGCCATAGAACAGCGGAGTTTCCACTTACAGGTAACATTAAAGGAGGGTGCATATTCAAATTTCATAATCCTAACCCCAACCCCTCGGAATTTAGTGTAAGACTAGCTATGATACGGGAGCGTGGGGGGGGAATTATAACCGGGCTCAACTACAACAATTATTTCCCTCCCTCTCCCCATCGAAACAACAGAGGACATGTAAAAGTAGGCATCTATGTACAATAAGGAGGTAACAGCAGGTGAACCAGAGGGACTGGGTGGCAGGACTTCTTCACTCGGCCGATACAATTAGGCTTTTGGGATCGGGCTTAGCTGGAGCAACCCGGGCGTACTGCACAAAAACCGGTCGGTCGTGCAGGCGGTAGCCGTGGACGGCGTGCAACGCGGCGGTAGCCAATTCAACAGAATCGAAACTCACAAATGCTTGACCTGAAAGAGAGAGAGAGGGAGTGAAAAAGGCGTAAATAGCAATATATATATATTTCTCCTGGTCAATCTATGATACTAGCAGAATGACATTACCGACGAAGATGAGGGAGACTGCCATGAACATTTCTAACTGGTTAACCATCATCAGTCAACCATACCCAACTTCAAGCGTTGCGGCACCTGAAGCTCGAACCTGCAATCTAACTCACTGCGCCAGGGGCTCTTCGAGTCCCATAAGCGTTCGGTGAGCGCCCGCCTACAATTGTTAATAGTCCCGACGGAGACCGACAAGACAACGAGCCCGCGGCGCAATGGGTTAGAGCGTTGGACGTCTTACCAACAGGTGGCAGGTTCGAGACTCGGATGGTGCACCACCCG